GCGCCTTCTCCAGGTGTCGCCTTTGCTGTGTTGTGGTCATTAACTGTAATTACTCTAATTAAACTGCTCATAGTGTGCCAAAAAGCACAGAAGATTGCATTGTCATCAGTTTCTAGGCTATCCTGAAAGTTTCAGCTTGCTAGCTAGTCTGGAAGTGAGTGAAATTCGAGTTTCAAAATTTGATCCGGACAAACAGACAGACAAGAAAGTGAGTTCATAAAAACGTGGTAAAATAACATTCAAGTGAAAAAAAGTAGAAGTCCCTCTAGGCTGGAGGTAATTTTTTAAAATTAGCTAAATTGACAAGAGAAATGCCCAACAACTTTTCTGACGTAAATTTTAGGGTTGGAAATATATGTTTCTTGTAATTTGGTCTGAAATGTACTTGCAATTTTATCACAAAAAGTCCCTCTGTTGAGTCAGTGTCCTCATGTCAGGCCTTTTCTATCAACTTTTTTCTGGGAAAATAAGTGCCCCTATGTCGAATTGTCCGCAGGTCGCATGTGAGGGTCTCACTGTACCATGAAGGGAATGTCTTTGAATAGACGGTCAGATAATACAGGGAGTGACGTGAAGACAGGTTCACTGTCGAAGCTGCCGATTTGGCGAGTAAATGAAAAATTGCCAACTGCGAATGGGAAGATTCTTGGAACCAACCATAAGTTCTCGGTTAGTGCAGCACAGAAGCTCTTTAAAAGTACTGCAGTAGAACGAAAGGATGAAGTTGACAATGAAAAAAGACAAAGAAGAATTAGCATCAATTCGCCATTGAAGGAATTAAGTCTGTTCACAGGAGTTCGCTTTTTTGCAGCACAGAACAAGGTACTGTATCTGCAATGAATACTGTAGTAAACTTCAAAGGGGTTCCTGTCACGGAATTTCATTTAATTGGAGACCCGATCGAAAAAAGCAGGTTCACAAAAAGGAATTTTCCTGCTCCACTGAATTTCTTCGTAGAGAAAGAGTACGCCTGTACAAGAATTTTCGGAGTGAAAAGATCAAAAAAAAAAAAAAAAAAACAGGTAAACTCTCCACACATATGTTCTCCATACAACGACTGTTTTGGTTTTAGTACCTAGGGCTTCTCTATATACTGAACGTGCGACAAAAACGGGATTCTCAAATTTTTTTCAAAATCAAGAAATACAAAATTCTCCCCAATTTTTTATGGCAACCCAAATTTCGTTGCTTACGGAGTCCATCTGCATTCAAGTTGAACCTCTCCAAGTCTAATTTCAACAGACCAGCAAAAAAATAACAAGTAAGGGAAACCAGCATCTTGTTGTGGGAGAGCCAGAAGAATTACAAAATATCTGATCTTTTGGTCATTGTATTACTTAATATAATATGACAGGATACTGAATTTGGGAAGCAGGGGTTCAATTGCCCAATTATTTCACATGCTTCAGAACTCATCAAGATACATTCCACTGCTTTTTTCTCCCTGCTTCCATGAAATACTGTGATATCCAAAAGGCCTCCAGACAATTCAATTTACGGAGGTTTGAAGAGGAAGGTCTTCGAGTTGAGAACTGGACTTAGTTTCCTGTGCATGGTTTCTCAAGATATTCAGAAAGGGACAAAAAATCGACATAAGGAGATGTTTGACTTCGCTAGGTTTGATTTATCCAAGTACAACTGAACTTGCATCCTTGAATGAGCTTCAGTGCGAATATGCTAGATGCGGGCTTCGTAGATGCAGCTCCGCAACGTAGATAACGTACAAGCACATACACACAGGGTATAAATACAGTACTGCTTCTTCGCAACACGACACCTTCGAAAGTCACGTAATAATGGTCAAGAATCCGACTACGATATGAACACCCTAAGATGTCTTGGAGCACCGAGTGAAAGAACCAACTAAGGAACTGGCTGAATGTTAGAATGGAACTAATGAAGTCTGACTACCTGACGGAAGATGTACGGGATGTATTCCTTCTTGAAGGGATGCCACCCGAAACGACCCTTTTTCGAATTGATATCCAGCGCATTCTCGTCATCAGCTGGTGGCGGAGGAGCAGGAGGACGCATGAGCTGCGCCGATCCGGGCAACCCCGGTCTGATCCCGATATTTCGGCCGTAGTATGAAGTGATTGCCTGTTGTCCGGGGCGCAACATGCTGCCCAACGGTAACGCTGCCATAGGACGCTGAAGTAACTGAGCAAGCCTGGCTTCATTAGCAACGCGCATTTTTTCGGCGAGCGCCACGATTTCTGGATCATCTTGGCGCTCCTGTTTAACCACTGGAGTGCCGGACGACGGAGGCATCCCCAGGGATGCTGTAGCAGTCATCATTCGATAACGTCAAACTGAACAAGTATATGCTATCTGCAATGAATTAAACAAAGGCTTACATTTTAAACTTGAGCCTCATATGACCTAAAACGCAATTCACCGATGCCTTCCACTTCTACAACATCTTCATAACATTTGATTTGGCAGGGTGACACCTACCTCACTTCAAGTGAGATTGCGCGCAGGCGACATCTACCTTTCCTTCGTGAAATGTGTTCCACTCACACATGTAAGAAAATGGGGGGGGGGGGGGGGGGGGGGGGGGGGGGAA